AAATAATTAAAAAAAAAAAAAAAAAAGAAAGAAAGAAATTCTTGGCTCCTGACTTTGGCCTGGTGCAATCCTGGCTGTTGCGGCCATGTAAGGAGTAAGCCAGCGAATGGAAGATATCTCTTTCTTTCTCTGTTCTTTTTTTTTTTTCTTCTTTTTTGACAGGCAGAGTTAGACAGTGAGAGAGACAGAGAGAAAGGTCTTCCTTCCATTGGTTCACCCCACAAATGGCCGCCACAGGCGGTGCGCTGCGCCGATCCAAGGCCAGGAGCCAGGTGCTTCCTCCTGGTCTCCCATGTGGGTGCAGGGCCCAAGCACTTGGGCCATCCTCCACTGCACTCCTGGGCCACAGCAGAGAGCTGAACTGGGAGAGCAGCAACCGGGACAGAATCTGGCACCCCAACTGGGACTAGAATCCAGAGAGCTAGTGCCACAGGCGGAGGATTAGTCTAGTGAGCCGCGACACCCGCCTGCTCTTCTTCTTTCTCTGTAACTCAGATTTTTTTTTTTTTTTTTTGACAGGCAGTGGACAGTGAGAGAGACAGAGAGAAAGGGTCTTCCTTTGCCATTGGTTCACCCTCCAATGGCTGCCGCAGCCAGCACGCTGCGGCTGGCGCAGTGCGCTGATCCGATGGCAGGAGCCAGGTGCTTCTCCTGGTCTCCCATGGGGTGCAGGGCCCAAGCACTTGAGCCATCCTCCACTGCCCTCCCGGGCCACAGCAGAGAGCTGGCCTGGAAGAGGGGCAACCGGGACAGAATCCAGCGCCCCGACCGGGACTAGAACCCGGTGTGCCAGCGCCACAAGGTGGAGGATTAGCCTATTGAGCCGCGGAGCCGGCCCAAATCAGATTTTCAAAATGAATAATAAGGGGCCGGCGCTGTGGCATAGCGAGTAAAGCCACCACCTGCAGTGTCAGCATCTCATGTGGGCACCAGTCCTAGCTGCTCCACTTCTGATCCAGCTCTCTGCTATGGCCTGGGAAAGCGGCGGAATATGGCCCAGGAAGAAGACCCAGAAGAAGCTCCTGGCTCCTGGCTTTGGATCAGCAAAGCTCTGGCTGTTCAGACCATTTGGGGCATGAACCAGCGGATGAAAGACTTCTCTGTAACTCTACCTTTCAAATAAATGAATAAATTTTTTAAAAAGAAGTTTATTTCTTTTCATCGACTTGAAACTCAGAGCAACAGAGAGAGAGAGACAGAGGGAGGGGGAGAAATAGAGATCTTCCAGGTGACCCCAGTGACCACACCAACCATGGCTGGACCAGGCTGAACTCCATGTCTTCCACATAGGTGGCAGGTCCCAAAAACTTGAGCCATCGTCCACTGCCTCCCGGGCTGCATAAGCAGGAAGCTGGATCAGCAGTGGAGCAGGTCCTTTTTTCTCTCCTTTCCTTTTATGTTCTTTTTTTCACTTTTTTCTTCTGTTTCTTGTTTCTTTCTCTTTCAGTTCCTTTTCTTGCTTGTTTGTTCTGTTTCCCACTTGTCTGTGTGTCTTTCTCCTTGCTTTCCTTCTAGTTTCTTTCTCTTTTTTACAATTTTCTTTCTCACTCCTTCATATTCTTTGTCCTTTCTTATTTTTTTCTTCCCTTTGCTTTTTCTCGTTCCCTTTTCTCTTTTCTTCCTTCTTTCCTTTCTCTCTCTCTTCTCTCTCTTTTTTTTTTTTTCCTTTTTTTTGGATAGGCAGTTTTAGTGAGAGAGAGAGAGAGACAGAGAGAAAGGTCTTCCTTTGCCGTTGGTTCACCCCACAAATGGCTGCTATGGCCGGCGCTACGCCGATCCGAAGCCAAGAGCCAGGGGCTTCCTCCTGGTCTCCCATGCGGGTGCAGGGCCCAAGCACTTGGGCCATCCTCCACTGCACTCCCGGGCCACAGCAGAGAGCTAGACTGGAAGAGGAACAACTGGGACAGAATCTGGCACCCCGACTGGGACTAGAACCTGGGCTGCCAGCGCCATAGATGGAAGATTAGCCAAGTGAGCGGTGGCGCCAGCCTCTCTTCTCTTTTTAAATCTTCATGCTTTCTCCTCTCTTCCTCATTCCGGTTTCACTTTCTTTATCTGTCTCCCACCTCCCCTCAGTCTTTCCTCTCTTTCTTGTGTTTACATTTTTCTTTCTAAATTTCCATTCCTTCTTTTTCCTGTCTTTTATATTTCTTCTCTCTCCTTAGTTACTGTCTTTCTGTTCTGTCCTCCCTCTTAAAAAGAAAGAAGGAAAGAAATAGACCACCTGGGACTTGAAATGGAATAGTGAGCATCACAAGTAGAGGTTTAACTTGGTAGATCACACTTACCTTTTAAAAAGATTTATTTATTTGAAAGTCAGAGGGGCTGGCACTGTGGTGTATCTGGTAAAGCTGCCACCTCCAGTGCCAGTATCCCATAAGGGTGCCAGTTCAAGTCCCAGCTGCTCCACTTCGGATCCAGCTCTCTGCTATGGCCTGGGAAAGCAGTAAAAGATGGCCCAAGTGCTTGGACCCCTGCACCTGCATGGGATACCTGGAAGAATCTTTTGGCTCCTGGCTTTGGATTAGCCCAGCTTTGGCCATTGTGGCCATGTGGGGAATGAAACAGCAGATGGAAGACTTCTTTTACTCTGCCTCTCTGTAACTCTGCCTTTCAAATAAATAAATAAATCTTTAAAAAGAAAAAAAAGATCCAGAGAGAGAGAGTGAGAGAGAGAGCGAGCGAGCCAGAGAGACAGAGCGATCTCCCATCTGCTGACTCGCTCCCCAGTTGGCTGCAATGGCCAGGGCTGAGCCAGAAGCCTCATGTGGGTTTCCCACATGGTGGCAGGGGCCCAAGCACTTGGATCATCCTCTGCTGCCGTTCCCAAGCCACTAGCAGAGAGATGGTTCTGCAGTGGAGCAGCCGGGACACAAACTGGTGCCTATATGGGATGCTGACATTGCAAGAGGTGGCCCTACCCACTATGCTACAATGCCAGCCCTTGTAAGTAATTTTTTTTTTTTTTTAGACAGGCAGAGTGGACAGTGAGAGAGAGAGAGAGACAGAGAGAAAGGTCTTCCTTTGCCGTTGGTTCACCCTCCAATGGCCGCCGTGGCCTGCATGCTGCGGCCGGCGCACCGTGCTGATCCGATGGCAGGAGCCAGGTGCTTCTCCTGGTCTCCCATGGGGTGCAGGGCCCAAGCACTTGGGCCATCCTCCACTGCACTCCCGGGCCACAGCAGAGAGCTGGCCTGGAAGAGGGGCAACCGGGACAGAATCCGGCACCCCAACCGGGACTAGAACCCGGTGTGCCGGCGCCGCAAGGTGGATGATTAGCCTAGTGAGCCGCGGCGCCGGCCTGTAAGTAATTTTTTAATCATTCTGTTTTTTTTATTATCTATACCTATAATGTCTAATGTGATAACCACTAGCCACATAAGGCTATTTAAATTGATTAAAATTGAGTAATATTTAAAATCCAGTTACTCAATAACCCTAGCACAGTTTAACTGCTTAACAGCCCCAATGTGGCTATTGGCTCCTGTGCGTACTTGAAAGTGAAGGTGGAGCTCCATCACATAAAATGCTTTCTTATTTTAAAATTAATTAATTTTATTTATTTGAGATGTAGAGAGAGAGACCTTCCATGTACTGACTCACTCCCCAAATGCTCATAACTGCTAGGGCTGGGCAAGACCAAAGCCAGGAACTCAATTCAGATCTCCCATGTGGGTATCACAGATTCAACTACTTGAGCTCCTCCTGCTGCCTCCCAGGGTGTGCACTAGCAGGAAGCTGGCACTGGGAGCGCAGCTGGGATTTGAACCCAGGAACTCTGATAAGGATGCAGGCATCACAAGTGGTGTCTTAACCACTGCGCCAAATGTCCACCCCTCACAGAAAATTCTCATTAGACAATGCTCGGCTACACGCTTCGCTACACATGGGGAAGAAGAAAAACACCCAGTATCTCCCCTCCGAGACAGAAGGCACGCCGGCTGTGTCAGTCTTCCGTGATACAGCACCGGAGAGTCTGATGTTTCAGTGTGCTGCAGGCCCGGGAGCCGCCAGCGTCCCGTCAGTTGCCCATTACTCCCGCCTCCAAACACCCCGTCAGTAAGCTGAGCTCCCAAGCGATTAAGGAAAAGGAGTCCAAGGAGGGCTGCGAATGAGCCCCTTCCAGTGTAATCAAGAATGGTGTCCAGCTTCAGGATGAACAGACTTGGCAAGCAGGCACATGACATACCAGCTGTCAGACCAAAGGTCACTGATGCTGGGACTCTGAAGTGTCCATCACTTATATTTGACCTTTATCTCCTGTCTCTGGAAATAGGAAATCTATCATTATAGGATGTGTGTGCACTGAGGGGGAAGGGGGGAGAGGTGGAAAGGGGGAGGAGAAGGAGGGTGAGGGAGTGGGAGATGGAAGAAGGAAAAGGACATGGAGAGGAAGTTGATTGAAATTTTCAAAATGTCATTTCTGTACTTGAACTGATAGGGTGATTAGTCACTGGCAGAGGTCACTGAGGCAGTTCATAAACTTTCTATCCTTGGAAACCTTTTCTAAGAAATCAGACACACTCAGGAACAAGCTTTCTGGGAGCCAGATGTTGAACCAGCCACCTTCTCACAAAGTTAGCACGTTTTCCAGGTTTGTGATGTTTGCACTGAAGCAAACACCGTACCACCAAATAATGCTTAAATTCACGGTAATGTTTCAAGTCACAGAAATGATATAGGGAGTCACCCATCTCAGTCAAGTCATTCACGAATACTTCAAAATAGGATCATTTTAAAAGGTATGTATACTTGGTCTTTGAAGACACAATAAAACATGGGCATTGAATGATTTGCCATCTAATTTTAGCTTGAGATTGAAATTAAAATCTGAGTCCCACAACACACACTGGGAGGTGCTGGGCAGCTTGGTTTAGGATTCGCCAACTGGACAAACGCTAATGTAGGAAGTTTTCGTAACACCCACACAAGGCCATGCTCTCAGGTAACTGAGCACCACCCCCAGTTCCTGATCACTGGGCATAGACTCAACCACTTACTCTGAAGATGCCAATCCAGTCCTTACGCCGGGGGACGAAGTGCTGGGTGAAGGTGTAATAGCACGTGATGTCCCCTCCGGGGACGTAGAATTTCTCCACACTGTTAAAGACGACCTGAGAGAAGTGACAGTGATCCAGCAAGATGGCAGACGTGGGGGGGTCTTCCACTGACTTCTCCATAGCGGAGGTCCTGTTCAGGAATTAGGAATAAGGCTCAAAAAGTGTTGGCTGAGATGCCAGAGACTTCTGGGCTCTCACCCAGGGAACATTCCGTCCAAGGCAAGTCAGGAAAAGCAAAATCCTGACGCGTAGCAAGATCACACAAGTTGCTTTCTGTTTCACTTTCAGCCATTTTGCATTTATAACTTCCTATGCTATAAGAATTTTCTCGGAATATCATTGGCCTCATTACCCCAGACATGACCGCTGTCACATACTCTTATTCTCTGCCCATGGCTAATTTGTTCCCTTTCTCTTAAATACACAAGGCAGCCCAGAGAGCAGAGCTGGAGCTAGGAACTGCAGGACCTACATTCCAGATTTTTTTTTTCATCCCAAGAAATCCTAGGATTTTAGGAAAGCCAGTCTCTCCCAATTTTCCCTTTTCCATTTAATCCAGTCATCCTTTAATTTATTGGGCCCTTCCATATGTAAGACACTCTGCTGGGAGGTGGGGATGGGAGTGGGGAGGAAATCAGGAATCAGAGAAGAGTATCTGAAAGGCAGCGGTGACACACATGGGTCTGAAGTCAGAATGGAGGAGTTACATTTCAGCTCCACCATCCACTGAAGGGGTGACCTTGGCAATTTACTTAATCCACCAGAATCTCTTCCTATTGCTTCTTTTTATTTTTTAAAGATTTATTTATTTATTTGAAAGTCAGAAAGTCAGAGATACACAGAGAGAGGAGAGACAAAGAGAGAGAGAGAAAGGTCTTCCATCCACTGATTCACTCCCTAGATGGCCATAACGACCGGAGCTATGCCAATCCGAAGCCTGGAACCAGGAGCTTCTTCCGGGTCTCCCACGTGGGTGGAGGGGCCCAAGCACTTGGGCCATCTTCTACTGCTTTCCCGGGACATATCAGAGAGCTGGATCAGAAGTGGAGCAGCTGCCGGGACTTGAACCAGCACCCATATGGGATGCCAGCACTGCAGGTGGCAGCTTTACTTGCTACGCCATAGTGCCAGCCCCTGCCTATTGCTTCTTAATAATACCATGTAGGGGCTAGCCCTGTGGTGCAGCAGGTTAAAGCTGTTGCCTGCAGCACAGGCATCCCATGTGGGCACCAGTTCGAGCCCTGGCTGCTCCACTTCCCATCCAACTCTCTGCTGTGGCCTGGAAAAGCAGTAGAAGATGGCCCAAGTCCTTGGGACCCTGTGCCTGCATGGGAGGCCTGGAAGAAGCTTCTGGCTCTTGGCTCGGGATCGGTCCAGCTCCAGCTGTTGCGGCCATTTGGGGAGTGAAACCAGTGGATGGAGGACCTCTCTCTCTCTTTCTCTCTCTGCCTCTCTGTAACTCTGCCCTTCAAATAAATATATAAATCTTAAAAAAATAATAACATGTACCCCATTTGGGTTTGTATGTGGCTTAAGTGAAATACTGTAAAGTGTCCAGCCCTCAAATTACTTCCTGCTAGATTAGGCACGTGACATAAAGCAGATGTTTAATGACAGAATAAAGCAGAGGCTGCATCAGGAAAGCACTAACAGATGTTTGTGATTATTACTGCTATTATTCCTACTGCTGGCCTAGCACAGTGCTTGCCCTTGAAAGGGTTCCGATCCAGTAGAGAGGAAAGATGAGCATAGGAGTGACTGACAAATGAATATAAGAAACGCAGGAAGCTGGCGCTGCGGCTCACTAGGCTAATCCTCCGCCTTGCGGTGCCGGCACACCGGGTTCTAGTCCCAGTCGGGGTGCCGGATTCTGTCCCGGTTGCCCCTCTTCCAGGCCAGCTCTCTGCTGTGGCCCAGGAGTGCAGTAGAGGATGGCTCAAGTGCTTGGGCCCTGAACCCGCATGGGAGACCAGGAGAAGCACCTGGCTCCTGGCTTCGGATCAACGCGGTGCACCGGCCGCGGCGGCCATTGGAGGGTGAACCAACGGCAAAGGAAGACCTTTTTCTGTCTTTCTCACTGTCCACTCTGCCTGTCAAAAAAAAAAAAAAAAAAAAGAAAAGAAACACGGGGGACAGCACTACTAAGCCTCTGCTTTGATGTCTGTCTTCCTCATCTGAGTGCCAGTTCAAGTCCCACTGTGGGGCCAGCACTGTGGCATAGCAGGTAAAGCCACCGCCTGCAGTGCCGGCATTGCATATGGACACCAGTTCAAGTCCTTGCTGCTCCACTTCCAATCCAGCTCCCTGCTAGCACACCTCCTAGGAAAACAGCAGAGGTAATGACCCACATGGCAGACTCAGATGGAGTTCCAAGCTCCTGGCTTCAGCCTGGACCAGCCTTGGAAGTTGTGGATGGACGATCTGTCTCTCCCTCTCTCTCTGCTGCTCTGCCTTTCAAATCAACCAATCAATGAATCCTAAAAAGTGCAGAGTGGAGTTCAAAAGATGCGATGGGCTAAGAAAATGAAGAAAAGCTTAAAGGAGTGAGGGTGTCTCAGCTAAGCCCTCAGGGAAGAACAGGATCTAGACAAGTGGGTTTGCAACTGGGGGCATTCCAAGGGAAGGAAACAGCGTGGGCAACAACAAGGACACTGAAAAGGGCGGACCACGTGCGGAAGACGGCAAACAGGTTTGGATCCCTAGCAGCACAGTGAGGATGACAGCCTGAGCTGCACCTTTCCAGATCTTAGCACACAGGTAAAATGTGACCAAGGACGGGAAACTATTTTGGAGGTAAAATATACATAAAAGAATCAAAGTGTCACGGATGTTGACACCCGATCCTTCCCACCCCTCAAGCAAGCTGCATTCATGGTCTTCTAAATGCCTCCCTAGCCAACGTGCAGCGAGCCCAGGATTCTCAACCAGGGTTTTACCAGGAAGTGAAAGCTGCTGTACACAGTAGATGAAGACAAGACCTGATTCACCCTGGTTCCTGGTTTCACTTTGAAGTCTAAACAACCAGGCCTCTTGTCCAACTTCCCAGAAGCCTTTTATTTTGTTCCACAGCCAAGGCAAGGGGACTTTGGGGCACTGAACTGTCTGTTCTTGAGATTAAGCTGAGGAAGTAAGAAATGCATTGGCTTTCTGGTTTGTGACAGTTTAGCCACATCCTCAACCTCAAACCTCAGAAGGGTTTTTCAAAGCAGGCACGCAGGAGTCACATCCAGTCCTGGCAAGACTTCCTTCTGATAAGCTGCCTTCTGTGATGAGGGTTTCTCATAGACCTTCTCTCCCCCGTGGTCTCTGCTCCTACCGAGGCCAGCATGTCCTCTGACCTAAGCCTGAGCACCAATGTATCTGAACACATAAGAATTCATCCTGGGCCAGTGCTGAGGCACGGCAGGTTAAAGCCCCGGCCTGCAGTGCCAACATCCCATACAACGCTGGCTTCAGCTGTTCCACTTCTGATCCAGCTCCCCGCTAATTGCCTGGGAAAGCATCTGAGGATGGCCTAACTCCTTGGGCCCCTGCACCCATATGGGAGACCCAGAAGAAGCTCTTGGCTCCTGGCTTCCGACTGGCCCAGCAGGTAAAGCCGCTGCCTGCAGTGCAGGTATCCTGTAGGGACGCCAGATTGGCCATTTAGGGGGTGATCTCATTTAGGGAAGATCTCTCCCTGTGTCTCTCCCTCTCTCTGTAACTCTACTTCTCAAATAAATAAATCTTTAAAAAGAGTGAGAGTTAATCTTTTCTTTGATCTTAGATTACAAAGAGCTCACAGGTGAGAGTGATTTCAGTGCCTCTCTTCAATTAACCTTAATACCTCACTTCTAGTTCTTTCTCTTCCTAACACCATCACCACTGTATACATAACACAAGGCCTGAGGCATAGTAATGGCTAATTAGGTATGTGTTTAACAAATGAGTGAGAAGAGAAGCAGTCTTTCAGCAAAAGTAAAACAGGAAGGGGCTTTGTAGGTAAACAATGGTAGGGTGATGGTGGAGCTGAGTTCTGGTTTTATTTTTAGCTCTGATTTTATTCTGCTGGATAACCTCAGAGGAGCTGTGGTTCTCAGCTTTCTCTTTTCTAAAATAGGTGAGGAGATGTTAGACCCACGTGTGATGTCAGTGCTTGGTATGGCTGGTTCAGCAGGCATGGCTGGTTCAAGTAGCATGGCACCAAAAAACAAAAGGCACAGATTTAACTTCCTTCAGAGCTATCAGAGTCACACTCCATTACCCACCTTCTACACTCAACTTCCAGCAAGCTGCTTTGCGAATGGATGCTACGCTGAAAGGCAAGATCAACCAAGGATATAGGTGGCTTGGCACAGTCTCTCAGAGAAAAACAACCAGTCTAAGTTAGCTCACGAGCAGAACACTGAAGAAAGGGCAGACGTGGCTGCTGGCGCTATGGTGCCGCAGGTAAAGCCGCTGCCTGCAGTGCAGCTATCCTGTAGGGACGCCAGTTCGAGTCCCAGCAGCTCCACTTTCAATCCAGCTCTTGGCTATGGCCTGGGAAAGCAGTAGAAGATGGTCCAAGTCCTTGGGCCCCTGCACCCACCTGGGAGACCCAGAGGAGGCTCCTGGCTCCTGGCTTCGGATCAGCTCAGCTCTGGCCGTTGCGGCCAATTGGGGAGAGAACCAGCGGATGGAAGACCTCTCTCTCTCTCTCTCTCTCTCTGCCTCTGCCTTTCTAACTCTGTTTTTCAAATAAATCTTCAAAAAAGAAAGTTTAAAAAAAAAGGCATACATATATGCAAAATGACACAAAACAGCTCATTCCTGAGGCTTCGGTATGCAAATGAAACACTACCTTTTTTTCATTCATCTAAAGCCTAGTCATCTGTCTGGAAAAGTCAGCAGCTTTGGTTTCTTACTTATCAAAAATGCAACAGACTCCACAAGGTTTCCTATTTCAGAGATCTCATTGCCTTCCCAGGACTCAAAGGGTGCCCAATGGCACCGTGCGTACTCAGAACTCAGCCACTGCTGAAATATAGGTTAACATTCCCCTCTGTTAAGACCGGAGGGGCCGGCACTGTGGCACCTGGCCTGCAGCACTGGCCTCCCTTATGGGCACCAATTTGAGTCCCAGCTGGTCTACCTCGATTTGGCTTTCTGCTATGGCCTGGGAAAGCAGTGGAAGATGGCCCAAGTGCTTGGGCCCCTGCATCCACATGGGAGACCTGGAAGAAGCTCTTGGCTCCTGGCTTCAGATTGGTCCACCTCCAGCTGTTGCAGCTGTTTGGGGAGTGAACCAGCAAACAGGAGATCTCTCTCTGTTTCTCCCTCTCTATAACTCTGCCTCTCACATAAATAAATCTTATTTAAATAATTATCTTTTTGACAAAGCAGTCTAGAAATTAGTGGTTGGTCGGGGGAGGAAGGAGGATACGGAAGGAAAACTGGAATGATTTCGGCATCAACTTGTCCTCCTTCAGCTACCTGTCCCACCACAGAATCTCTTCATGATCTAATTCCAGTAGTGATTTATAGGGGCAAGGGAGAGAGAAGAAATATAAGAAGAGCAAAAGTTAAATTTAGAAGTCCAGAGAGCTACTGAGTAATGAAAAAGCAGTGGGAAGTATTAGGCCCCCTAGAAACCGTGGAATGACATTCTACCTAGTTTCCTACTCTGACCTCCAAATCAAAGACTGGCCACATAACGAGTGGACCAAGGAAAACAAACAGGGAGTCTAAGGACAAAATCATTAAGCCTGGTGGGGGAGGGATGCACAGATTCCACAACCTGTCAGAGCACTTTACTTGACCTCTGACAGAGTGGTGACTTTTTTTTTTCAGCTCAGCTTGCAAAAGGATTAGAGCCCTCAGAGGAGCTGGCAATAATAGGAATGCATTTTAAAATGCGTCTCCTGAACTGCTCCTGGTTTCTAAGAAAACCTGATGATGATGTTTTCATCTAATAAGTTTTTTAAGCCTAACATACTACTCCCAAGACTGCTCCATAAGGACACAGTCTCCCAAGCCTTTAAAAAAATTTTTTTTTAAATTGATTATTTATTTGAAAGGCAGAGTTACAGAAAGAGACAGAGAGAAACAAAGATATCTTCCATCTGCTGGGTCACTCTCCAGATGGCTGCAATAGCCAACTCTGGGTCAGGCGAAGCCAGGATCCTGGAAGTCCACCTGGGTCACCCACATGGGTGGCCAAGGCCCAATTACTTGCGCCATCTTTTCCCAGGAGCATCAGCAGGGAGCACGATTGGAAGTGGAGCAGCCAGGACTCGAACTGGGCTCATACAGGACACTGGCATTGCAGGTGGCAGCTTAACCCGCTGTGTCACAATGCCAGCCTCCTCTCATGTCTCACACCTTCCTGAAGAGAGGGTACAATAGCCAGTTCTGTTTCTGCTCTTTCTGAATGAATTTACAAACTAACTAGGAAAAGTGGAAAAAATTTTACATGCCTAGCATTTCTACATTAGCTTTTTTCTACCAGTAGGCACATGTTTCCAGAGAAACATGGCTTCTCTGCCTGGGTTTCAGAAGGAGACCAATGCTTCCACAGGGAAGAGAGAAACACCATCAACTCTTCATTTAGGAATATTCAAAACAGAGACAAACCAAGTCAAACCCATTTACTCTCATTCCTTCAATCTTCTGCTTACTTTACTTGCTAAAACCAGTAGCCATTAGCAAAATGGATGAAGTGATCAGAGCCTCATCCCTCCCTGGCTCTGGCAGACACACATCGTAAGTACCCTGAGAGAACACGGGCAGTGGATAGTATGGTTGTGGGCATGGCCCTGAGACAGGCAGTAAAAGCAGAAACAGTCATTGATCTTCAAATTATTAAGCCATTCACTCTAGTCCCAAATTCCCAAGTTCATTCTAGCTCCTCACCTAAAATATTTCAGAGTGCCTTAGAAAAACTGCACAGAGGCTGGCGCTATGGTGTAATGGGTAAAGCTGCCGCGGGCTGTGCCTACATCCCATATGGGCGCCAGTTCAAATCCCGGCGGCTGCACTTCCAGTCCAGCTCTCTGCTATGGCCTGGGAAAGCACTAGAAGATGGCCCAAGTCCTTGGGGCCCTGCACCCATGTGAGAAACCCGGAAGAAGCTCCTGGCTCCTGGCTTCAGACTGGCCCAGCTCTGGCCATTGTGGCCATTTGGGGAGTGAACCAGCAAATGGAAGACTTTCTCTCTCTCTCTCGCTGCCTCTCTTTAACTCTTTCAAATAAATAAATCTTTTTAAAAAAAACTGTACAGTCCATCAGGTCTTTAATTTATTCATCAACAATTGTTTGAATTGGCTGTCCAGCTTGTTCTAAGCAGGATCTAGTCCCCTCCCCCACCCCAACACCACACCACATCACACCACCACCATGCCAGCAGTCCTGGGGCACGAGGTGCAGGCAAACAGAAGAAATGGAGAAGCTCAAAGGTGTGGGCTGGATCTGCGTTTGACCGAAACTAGCCTCTTTTCCCTTTCCCTTGAAGAGGGTAACTCGGCTGTCATGTCGCTGTGCCGTGGGCAGTGGCAGCGTTTGAGGGCAGGAGTCTAGGAACCCATCTAAGTTCTGCCCCTGACGAGCTCGGAGATCTCAAGTCACAGCCCCTTCTTTCAGATCTGTTTCCTTGCCAGTCAAACGTGCGGATCCAGCTAGGAACTCTCCAAGGGTCTCTCCAGTGACAAGGACGATGTCGCCGAAGAGGGCAACAGTTCGTTTTAACTGCTGCACTTTTCCTCTAGGACAAGCGTGGGGTTATATCAAGAGCCCCCGATGCAGTGTCTGACTTGGAAGACAGCAACTCGCTACGGACAGGTACCTCGGGATCCCTCACTACCCTTCTCACTGCCTTTTCCACTCCATGGCTGTCCCTTCAGCGAAAGGGTACAGCTTCAAGATTCCCTGGGAACACCTGGGAAGGAAAGCCAGCCGCGTATCTCTTAATCTCATGTTGGGTCTACTTAACGACGAAGAGCGACCGCAGTTTGCTTTAAAGTATTTTTGCCACAGTGGAGATAAGTTACAATACAACGCCCATGTTATCCTCCTGGTCTCCAACCAGTCTGCACCTGCAGCCAAGATTCCAAGCGATAGAAGTGAACTCGCGTGGGTGAGGCTGAAGTCCCTGGGCGGGGGCTCAGCCCCCAGACTCCGCTGGGCCGGCGGTGGAGGAGGGGCGCGGCCAGGGGAGCCCACTTGCACGGCGGCTGGCCCTGCACCTCCTTTCCTTTTCGGCTGCCTGGAACATTTCCTCCTTCAGACGCACAACGCTAAAGGAAAAAGGCTTCAGGAGCCAAACCCACTGCGGACGGGGAAACTGAGGCCCCAAAAGGCCGTAACCGGCCCAGGGTGACGTGGCAGAGGCCCCGCCTCGGCCTGGAAGCAGGCGGGGATGACGTCAAAGCGAGGGAAGACGGCGGCCGCGGCAAGACCCCCGCTGCCGTCAGAGGCGCCTCAGCCGCCCAGGGAGCCTCCCGCCCGGCCTCCCGCACCGCAGCGCTGCCCGCCTGGGGTGGGGGGTGGGGGGCGGCAGACGGCCCCGTGCCCTCCAAGCCCACGGAAGGGGCTGCAGGGAATCCAGGACGCCACTCCCACTTGCTATCACCCTAGGGTGGACTGAGGTGAAAACCGAAGCCGGCCGCACCTCTTCCCACGCACAGCCCCTTCCGAGGACTGCACGTCTGCATTTGGGGAACCTGAGATCCTCACTGTCCCCTTTCACTTCTGGAACTCACCGGGGGCAGCAGCCAGCGGCGGCGCAACAGCAACAGGGCAGGGAACGGGACAGGGGCGGGGCTAAAAACTCAAGGGAGAGGCGACCCGGAAGGCCCCGCCCACAACGTCACAGCGGGCAGCATGCCCCGCCCCTCGCGGTGCTTGATGGGATTTGTAGTGCCTAGGTGATTGGGTCGCCAGTCCGCGTCCCTTTACCGCTTTCCCCAGCTTGGGGTCCGCGAGCTCACCCCAAGAAACTCATTTCATCCCCTAGAGTGAGCTGTTTGTTACTATTCATTTTTTAAACCTTTATTTCTCAGCAGAGGGAACCTTGACTCTTTGAAGAGCCGCTGAGCGGTCTTTTTTCTCGTACCTCCATCTGTCCCTAAGAGGAGCCCTTGCAATCTTCCTGGTTCCCCCTCTGTGTTATTTTCTTTCTGCGCCAAGAAGACGCGACGGCTGCAGGCTTCCTGGCACCTCCCCTCAGTCCAGCTCCCTGCTAATGGGCCTGGAAAAGCAACAGATGATGGCCCAATGGAGTTCCTGCCTGACACAGGCAGGTTTCGCTCTGACCCAGCCCTGGCTTGGTACAGGAATTCAGGGCGTGAACTAGCAGATGGAAGATCTGGCTCAACTTCTCTCTTTCGCTCTGCATTTCAAGTAGAAGAAACTAAATAAGCATAAAAATTCTTTAGAGTTAATTCCGTCGTGTCAATGCATTTTTTTTTAAAGTGCAGTTAAGAATAAACTCAGCAAGCAAGAATCCTGCTAAGTCAGTTTAGAGAGAAGCCCCTATCCTTGATAACTGGTCACCCTGACTGTCTTCACCAAGAATCCGGCTGGGTCAGTTTAGCAAGCATCCCCCCACCCCGTGTCTCCTCTTAGCTACTTCCTGCCCACTGACCCTTTCACCTTGCTTGTAAGTTCCACTTGTACTTTCCATGTTCAGTATAGTTGAGCAATACTCTCCACTGGAAACTGTTTGCAGAACAAGTGTCTCAGTATCCTGAGTAGGTGCCCCTGAATTTTACTTACAGCAAACCCCCCACCTAACTGGGGAGGGTTCATTCCAAGAGCCCCACTGGGTGCCTGAAACTGCAGATGGTACCCTGCAGATGGTGTCTCTTCTGTATATACATATCTATGATAAAGTTCAATTTGTAAATGAGGCATGGGAAGAAATTAGCACTTAATATAATGAACTAGAGCTATAATAATAGACTGTAATAAAATTGCTCGTGTCACCACTCCTGCACTTTGTGGCCATTGTGTAAAATCAGGTTTACTTGAACACAAGCACTGCTACACTGTGACCTTTGATCTGATAATGAGACAGCTGCTACCTTGTAAGTGTGGATATGCTGGACAAAGGGATGATTCATGTATCGGACTGGATGCAGCAGGATGGTGTGAGATTTCTTCACGCTACTCAGAACAGCACACAATTGAAAACTGTGCTGCTTATTTCTGGAATTTTCCATTTACTATTTTCAGACTGCCATTGACCATAGATAACTGAAACCTTGGAATCCATGGATAAGGGGGAGGGGAGTGATTAGATTAAATTTTCTAAGAGCACTGAGAATTGAAACCACTTACTTTTACTTTCTGTGTGTAACTTTTAGAATTGAACATTGTATTAAAGTTAAAAATATGCATATATGATAAGTAATTAAAAAAAACACTTATACCCACACAGCTTCCTGTCTACAGTAACAGGACAACTCTTAAGCGACCCTTCCTGGAAGTTAAAAATACAAATAAAGTCTGTTTGTTCTAGATACTTCCTAAAAGAGTCATCAATAGAGAAACACATCATCAGATGACAATTTTGTATACACCAAGACTCTTTATTATTTTTTTTGAAAATTTATGTATTTGAAAGTCAGAGTTACACAGAGAGAAGGAGAGGCAGGGAGAGAGGTCTTTCATCCGCTGGTTCACTCCCCAGTTGGCCACTACAGCCGGAGCTATGCTGATCCGAAGCCAGGAGCCAGGAGTTTCTTCCGGGTCTCCCACGTGGGTACACTGCAGGCGCGATTTAACCTACTACGCCACAGCGTCAGCTCCTCAAACTGCCTTTAAGTTCTGTGCTGTTGAATTTAGCTCCTCAAAGAATCAACAAAACAAACTGTTGATAAGGCAACAGTAAGGAGAGTGCTGCTTTGACGGGGTTGCAGTGGCTTGGAGGAGAGGACCAAGCAGTGGTAAACACTGAGACTCTGAAACTTGGTTTGGGAGGGGCTCAGTGCAGGTAGGGGTTTATTAGGATTTGGTAAGGATCATAGTAAAATAGTTTAGGGTTTGTGGCCACAACAGAGGGATTACTTGTAGGCCAGGAGTTTTAAGAGTCTTGGTGTAGGGGCCGGAGCTGTGGCATAGTGGGTAAAGCTGCCGCCTACAGTGCTGGCATCCCATATGGGTGCTGGTTCTCTCTCTCTCTCTCTCTCTCTCTCTCTCTCCCTCTCTGCCTCTCCTTCTCTCTCTATGTAACTCTTTCAAATAAACAAATAAATCTTTCAAAAAAAAGTTAGGATTTATTTCTAGTAGAAATGTCAAGGGAAGGCTGCAATTGGCAGCCTTTATGGTTGGATATTGAAGAAATAGGGATTGATATTCAGCTCTGTAGAAAGTCTTCCAATCTTTTAAAAATTGTTTTTAAAAATATTTAATTACTTATTTGAAAGTAAGAGTTACGGGGTGAGGGAAAGATCTTTCATCTGCTGTTTCACTCCCCAGATGGCCACAATGGCCAGAGCTGAGCCAAGCCAAACCAGGAGCCAGGAGCTTCTTCTGGGTCTCCCACTTGGGTGGTAGGGGCCCAAACACTTGAGCCATGTTCTGCTGCTTTTCCCAGGTCTTTAGCAGGAAGCTGGATCAGAAGTAGAGCAGCCATTTGGGATGCCAGCATCGCAGGCGGCAGCTTTACCTTCTATGCCACAGCATGGCCCTGGGTCTTCCATTATTTTCAACCACTATTATCTGGGCCAAGAAAGAGTGAGGAGTGTAGTTACTTGTGCCTGACAGTGTGTATTATCTCATTTAATCCTATTTTCCCCATTTTACAGATGAGAAAAGTGGGACGTGGTGACGTACATTGCCCAAGCTCACACATCTGATAAGCGCCAGCAGGAGGATTTGAATTTAGCATTCTGACCCTAGTGACTGCCCTCAACCTATGTTTCATCAGGAATTCAGTAATCCTCGAGGGAAGACAAACGCATCAGCATCAGCGAGGGTTTGGCTTAGAAGAGGAACTTACATAGCACCAAGACAGCGCAGAATTAATGTTTCCAAGGGCAGGAAGGGAAGCTTTGCGGAAGAGATATTCCTGAAAAAAAAAAAAATTGTTCTGAAGCCTGTCAAAATGGTAAGGAAGGTTGATTCAGGACGATTGCAATAGGAGCTTAATCATAAGGGAGAGAGATTGTGCTCAACTCTGACTACTCATACAACAAGGACAAGGGAGGACTTAGAGCTGAGGCACAGCTCCATGGGTGGGAAATCACTACGAGGAGACATCAGGGCAGGAGACTCCTGCAGAAGAAGGTCGGGGTTGGTATCGAGGGTGGAGGATGAGGAATTTGATCAGATAGTGAGGGTGATCAGATATCAGTGGTGGGGGGTTCTCTCTAAAATGCCTTTTTAGGATTCTTGCTCAAACTGGTCTTGGCAAGGACACACAAGGAAGGCCAAGGTGGAGGGCTACTCCTCAGAGGCGCCCAGAGAAAGTCTTTGTCAGAGGTGACCTTTGATTCCTTCGAATAACAAGCTTGCCAACCAGGGACAGGGCCGGGATTAGGGAGTTGAATTCTCTGTGCAAAGGAAAGTTCCACCTCTGCATTATGGGATCCACTCTCACTAACGACATGTGGCTACTGGGCACCTGCAATGTGGACAGTGAACTAAATTTTTATTTAAGTTAAATCTGAATGGCCCTAGGCAGTCACTATCCCAGTAGGTGCATGTCTGCGGCAACTGTGTGATGCAGGTGTGGACAGGGAGAAGGAGGAGCGAGAGACAAGTCTAGCAGGAGGTGTCCAAGTGGCAGCTGCTCCTTTCGCCTTTACCCTCAGCTCCAGTCCTGCCCAGCCCTGCCCAGCAGCGAGGACTCCGGCTTTTGAACTCAACTCCATGGGGAAAGGAAGAGAGGGATTTTACGCCTCTGAAGTCTGAGCTCTCTGCAACCACCAAGGACTTACACAGTGCAGGTCATTTCTGTGCCCAAGTTAGAGGAAGAACAGAAATGAACCCTCAGCAGGAAGAAGGAAACTCCTGATTAGGCTGAGATGCAACTGTGCTTACAAATATATTGGAGGTGGGAGGCAGCACCGTGGCACAGGTTAATCCTCTGCCTGCGGCGCTCGCATCCCGTGTGGGGGCCGGTTCTGGTCTTGGCTGCTCTTCTTCCACTCCAGCTCTCTGCTGTGGCCTGGGAAAGCAGTGGAGGATGGCCCGGGTGCTTGGGCCCCTGCACCCACGTGGGAGACCAGGAAGAAGCTCCTGGGTCCTGGTTTCAGATCGGCGCAGCTCTGGCTGTTTGGATGAACCAGCAGATGGAAGACCTTTCACTCTGTCTCTCCCTCTCACTGTCTGTAACTCTACCTCTCAAATAAATAATAAAGTCTTAAAATATATATCTAGTGAGGGGCCAGTGCTATGGGTAGTCACCTGCAGTGCGAGCATCCCATTTGGGTGCCTATTTGAGTCCCGGCTGCTCCACTTCCAATCCAGCTCTGCTGTGGCCTGGAAAAGCAGTAGAAGATGGCCCAACTCCTTGGGCCCCTGCACCCACATGGGAGACCAGGAAGAAGCCCCTGGCTCCTGGCTTTGGATCAGCCCAGCTCTGGCTGTTGCAGTCATTTGGGGAATGAATCAGCAGATCAAAGACATCTCTCTCTCTCGCTCTCTCTCTCTCTGTGCCTCTCTCTGTAACTCTGTCTTTCAAATAAATAAAATAAATCATATATATATAGTGACTTAGTGGATAAAGCCTCGGCCTGTGACACCAGCATCCTATATGGGTGCCTATTCGAGTTTCTGATGCTCCACTTCCAATCTAGCTTCCTGCTAACGTGCCTGGGAAAGCAGCAGAGGATGGCCCAAGTGCTTGGGCCCCTGCATCCATGTGGGAGACCTGGATGAAGCTCCTGGTTCCTGGCATCAGCCTGGCCCAGTCCTAGATGTTGCAGCCATTTGGAGAGTGAACCAGTAGACAGAAGACCTCTCTTTCTCTCTCTGTCTCTCCCTCTCTGTGTAATTCTGACTTCCAAATAAATAAAATAAATCTTAAATACATATGTAATGTAATTAATTTATTTGAAAGACAGAGAGAGAGAGAGAGAGAGAGAGAGACATCTTCCATATCTGCTGGTTCACTCCCCAAATGCTCAGAACAGCTCAGGCTAGACCGGCTCAATCCAGATCTCTCACGTGGAAGGCACATACCCAATTACTTGGGCCAACACCACCTGCTTCCCACGGTGTGCATTAGCAAGAATCCGGATCAGAAGAGGAGCCAGGACTCAAACCCAGGGACTCCATTATGGGATACAGACATCCTTACCGCTGTGCAAATTATCCATCCCATAACAGGGTTTTTACACACAGACCAAATCTGATGTTTTATAAACTTCAGGAGACAGAGGAAAAAGTATGCCTCACATGAACCACGTTTCCAAAATGTGTAGGCAGACCACTGCACCTGTTAAACACTTCAGGCAACCCTAATATTTGAAGGCACTTTGCAATGGTCCTTTTAAAAAATTGACCTAGTTTTGTTTTTAAAAATCACATTAAATAAATGGAAAAAAATCCAGAATCTCACCCACATTGTCGAATCTCTTACCTATAGAGGTCATTTGTCTGTAGGAAGGACATTTTTCCTTGAATTGTCTGGTCCCAGTTGAGTCTTTGGCAGTACTTTAACAGCTCTGAAACTGTAGGGAGCAGATGGATAAGCAAATTGTGTCTGCTCTGACGAAGACTGATTGTCTGTGCCCCTCCTTGTGGAATTTTTGTTTCCATTCCTCTCTCCACCCTTTTCTCATAGTCATGTGTCGTTCTTAACTCCTTGTCCTGAAGCTGCCGAAACACAGCCGTCTGCCCTCCTCCCTCACTGAGTGAGTAAATCACAATCTTTAACATATATTCAGTTTTTAGGTCTATAATGAGAATTGTTATACTTTTAAAAATTCTCCCAACATTTCTTCCAGTTTTTATGTATATAATACGTGTTTGACATAAAGTTTTAAAAAAAGACTTACTTATTTATTGACTTGTAAGACTGAGTGACAGAGAGAGGTCAGGAGAGACACAGAGAGATCTCTGTCAGTTCATTCCCAAATGGCTGCAATGGCCTCAGCTGGGTCAGGCCAAAGTCAGGAGCCAGGAACTCCAGCCAGGTCTCCCACACGGGTGGCCGCGGTCCCAGGACTAGGGCCATCATCTGCTGCTTCCCTAGGTGTATTTTAGCAGGAAGCTGCATTGGAAGTGGAGCAGCCAAGACTCCAACCAGCACTCTGATATGGGATGCAAATGTTGCAGGCAGTGTTTTACTTAACTCCTGTGCCACCACTCAGGCCCCTGTGTTTGACAAAATTATAGCGAGAGCTTTATAAAAACTTTTTCACTTACTATTAATAGGTAAAAAGCGTTTTCCTATTGCTAAAAAACATCATGAGAATTGCTTTCTCTCTGTTACCATAAGTGATTCCGCCACAATTTACTGCTTATTGGGCCTGGAGGTGACTACACCAGTACATTACCATTGTGCCCATCTGACACAAGACCACTGGGTGTGTCAGAGGACTCCACATTCATACTCATTGCACACGTGTGTCCTGTGACCCACCAGACACACGTTAGTGGGAAATGGCTCTTGTAAGCACTTGCAAGAAAATGAAAGGCCATGGAGCATGCGTGTCTGTGTCACCCGTGGCACCCAGGGAAGCACCTTGCATGTGTGCATCCTGAGGGTCTGCCCCTGCTGTTCCCTCACAGTGGGGGGGGGGGGGAGGGGCACGTGTGTCCAGGGGTGTCCAGGCCCACCAGAGGATGCCTCCAAAGCCGCCGGGGACTCCCTTTCAGGAAAGGGGTTTTCCCCCGAGGGTGGGGGGGGTGAAGAGGAAAGACCAGATGGACACAGGGGCCTGGAGGCTCCACGGCTCGCAGCCCCACGTCCAGGGGCTCCTTCAGCCCCCACAGAAAGGAACACAGGTCACCCTGGAGAACTCAGAGAGGTGTGGCCAGCTATTTCTATTTCATTACCTACAGTGGTTAAGAGAGTGTGGAGGAAGGGGTAGTGGACTCACAGAAGTCTCACTTCCCCCAGCCTTGGTTTCCCATCTGAAAACAACAGAAGGGGCTGGCACTGCTGCACAGCAGGTTAGGCCATCTGCATCCCATAGGGGCGTCGGTTCAAGTCCCCACTGCTCCACCTCCCATCCAGCTCCCTGCTAATGCACCTAGGAAAGCAGCAGAAGATGGCCCAAGTGCTTGGGCCCCTGCACCCACGTGGGAGACCTGGATGAAATTGCTGGCTCCTGGCTTTGGCCTGGCCCAGTCCTGGTCATTGTGGCCACTTGGGGAGTGAACCAGCAGGTGGACGACCTCTGTTTCTCTTGTTCTGTCACTCTGCCTTTCAAATAAAGAAAAATTGGGGAAAAAAAAACAGTCCCCGCCCCTCCCCGCCACATTTCCTTCTGAAAAAAAAAATCGGAGACACACAAAACTTCACCTTCTAAGCATCCTTGTGTCAGTCTCGCCCTGCCTGGTGAGTATAGCACGATTTTACTTTGACTGGCACAGGATGAAAGGGCTTCCAGGAGGGACCTGGGTTCAGGAGGTGGAAGCAAACATCTGTCTTTGTAATTACACGTACAGGAGGAAGCCCACTCTGAGAACAGCACAGCAAACAGGCTTCTGGGGTTTCATGGCCGTCTTCCTATGCATTCATTTAATCAGGTGGGTGCCTCAGAAACAAACCAAGGAAAACCACCTGCCCAGGGTTTTCATGCACTCACACCTCTGAGTTTGCGCTCAGAGGAGGGGACATGGTCCAAAGTTTAAGACAACTGTGAAGATGTTCTGTTCCAGCCTTTTGCACACGGGCCCAGAAAGTCCCCCAATGCTCGCCCTGTGGGTTTTTCTGTTTCGGGGTCCGCCTGGCACAGAGCTCCTGAGATTCCTCGCAGTTGCTCTGCAGCCCCGTGGGTGTGCTGGAGGGGTGACGCTCGCTGAGCTCTTCAGTGGGGGCAGCTCTAACTGCGCGCCCTGGGTTTGCTCCCGTCATCACCCCTGGGATCACTGGCCTGTTAGCTCTCAGGGCAGCAGCCCTCTCCTCTCTCATAAATAACCAGTTGTCAGGGGGCTTAATGGAAACCTCTGGAAGCCGGTAAATCTCTGCTGCCACTCCTCCAGCCTCCTCTCTCTCATTTCCATCACAATATCAGCCCAGAGGGCCTCTGGCTGAACAGATTGGTGGGACAGGGAGGGGTCCAGATCTGGGACAGTTGGTCTTGGGGAAGCATCTGCTCCATGGCCGTTGATGTTGGTCACCTGGGCCCTGAGGGCCCTGGAGAGGAGGCAGGGCCTGCAGCCCCGGGGGCCATCAGCAGGGAGGAGGGCAGAGGACTGGGGAATGGGGAGAGGGTTCTGGGAAAGCAGCAGATGGGCTGCCAGTTCCTCCTCCTTGCTCCAGAGTGAACAGAAGCACCAAATGGCCGCTTCCAGTCTCTGCGAGGGGCCACTCTCCAGACTCCTGGCTGTGCAGATGAAGGGATGGTTCCTGTGCTGGGAGGTGACAGAGTGGATGTACACGCATATTCAGCACTCAGTAGTGAGAGCTCCCTAAACAGCCGGGGAGAGCATCCATGTCCACTTCATGAGGGATGCAGGGTGGGGGGCAGGGCTTCAAGGGATGGAAGATTCCATGAGGCTTGCTTGCACAATTTTTTTTTTTTCGGAGGCTGGGGTTTTATTCACGGCCTGGTGCGGGTGACACAGGCAGGGTGGGGTGGAGGGCAGGGGGTGGAGTGGCTAGGAGGGGGCCGACTGCAGCTGTCCCTTGTACACGTATTCCAGCGCGGTGGCAATGGTGTGCATGTCCAGCTCAATGCTCCGAGCCCAGTTCTCCACATCCCCGATTTCCTTGAGAGCCTGGTTGAAGTTCTCCACCATCCCAATCCACTGGCCTGTCTGCTTGGCAAACTGGGCAGCCTGGGCCTGCAGGGTCTTCACCTTGTGGTCCAGCTTCCTCTGGTTCACGTAGGCCTGGGCCACACCCACGTTGAGGTGGTCCACCAGGGCTTCGGTCAGGCAGGTCGCGGCCGTGATTGCCTCTCGCCTCCTCTTCTCCTGCAGCTCCTTGCGTTCATTCTGCTTGGCCTGGTGTTCCTTCAGCAGACGGGACAGCATGGTCGCGTCTGGCTGGGGGCAGGGCACGTCGAACCCCCCGCTTGCACAATTTTTTAAAGGCTACAGTGATCAAGCTCAGAGCCTCCCAGACTGGAGACCTTCCCCGAGGGCAGGGGGTTTGGGGCAGCTGCTTTATCAGATAAGGGCCGCTCAGATAAGGCTTCTCTCTGCACCTGCTGTAGTTTAGACATTCTCACTTTGACTTAACCATCCCGGCTGACCCATTCTGCATTCATGGCTGGCCTCCCCTGCAGCATGTTCTGCAATTCTACTTTCTTCTGCAATGATGACCTCTTTGTGTCTCCATAGGGGCATCCTGAGACCACATTTATTGGCCCTGCTTGGTAGGGAACACCTGGTAGTCTATTTATTTATTTGCAAGTCAGTTACAGAGGGAGAGAGAGATATATAGGTCTTCCATCAGCTGGTATACTCCCCAAGTGGCTGCAATGGCCAGGGCTGGGCTAGGCTGAAGCCAGGAGTCAGGAGCTTCTTCCAAGTCTCCCACATGGGTGGCAAGAGCACAGGTACTTGGGCTTATCTTCCACTGCTTTTCCCAGCCCCATTATCAAGGAGCTAGATTGGAAGTGGAGCAGCTAGGATACAAACCTGTGTCCATGTGGGATGCTGGCTTTGCAGGTGGTGGCTTTACATGCTATAACACAACACCAGCCCCAGTAAAGTCTATTTATTCCTTGAAAATTTTTCACTTTGAAGTCACCTTTATGCTGTCCTGGTGGGGCTTTTCTTTAGTGCCTTCACTTGCCATGCCTTTGATATCCCACCACAGCTTAGCATGAAGTCCTGCACACACTCACGGGCACAATGTCTCCAGCGAATCAGCTGAAGTCTTCCAGGAGACTCCTGGATCCTGCCTCATCTGCTCTTTGTTCTAGACCCTGTCTAGCCCACTTGGGTCTCATTCATTTGTAATCATAGCCTCTACTCTAACATCAGTGGCTCTGCTCCCAACCTGTGTGTACTGATAGTCCTCTCCCCCACATAATGTACGATTATTCAGAATTTCTCTACAGACAAACCCCTCTACCTGCAAAAGTTGAGTGGCCTTTCTCTTGGTCTTGGCTGGGATCAGATTTAAACCACATCCATCAAACAATCCTCACAAGGGTCCAGAGACCCCCCCTCATTTCCTCTCCTCTATGAAATCCTTTCACTACCTGGTTAGTGCCACTCTTAGGATCACTGGTTGCTATTCTCACCCTGACTTATATACTACAGTGTCTGTTTAAGTGTTTACAGCAGGTGATAATGGAATGAACCAAGGCCTTCAGCAACCAGGTGGTCAACCAGATGCTTCTCCATCCATATATGTCTGTCCCTGCGGAGCCCCAAGATACCCTCAGCGGGCCCCTGTAGACGACGTCCCCAGTCAGCAGGAAGTAGCCAGAGAGACTCATCATCACCCCCTTTCCTATCATCAAAAGGTCTGGGTGGTAGCTTTGGGATCCGCAAGGAGGGAAGGCCTACACTTCCGGGAATGGAAGAAAAGTCCTTGTCAGGGTCCCTGCGGGTGCCTAAAGGTCAACCAATGAGGATCAGACCTGCCTCAACCTTTAACCCCCATGCCCTGAATCTATAAAAGCAGCACTCCCAATCTCTGACGTGCGACTTCCCCGGCCCCCACTCTGTTGCTCTGTTGGGACCAGGGAACCTCGCCCAGGAGCGGAACCCCAATAAAAGCCTGTGAATTGATTGATTCGTGGGCCTGGGAAGATTTGCTATGAGCTGGACACCTTGCAAGGAGGTGTCAGAAAAACCTTATGGTTCTCAGCTGAAAATGGACTCTTTGCTGGGTCTTTTACCAAATTCTGCATCAGCCTTGGGAGAAACAGCTGCTCTGCCTGCCAGTCCCCTTAGGGTAGTCTGGCAGGCAGAAGTCTGGGCTGAGACAGGTGGAAAGGGGAGAAGTTACTGAATTCTGCTACTATCGCCATTCCGGGCGCACCAGAGGGCTGTCCCATGGCGGCTGGGAAGCCAAGACCCCTACCCCTTAAGCCTCCCTACTCGACCAGTCGACCTGGGCGGGCCTCTCTCACCGGTCAGTGACTCAGTGAGCTAGAGCCGTCCACCACCTAGATTACTGCGAAAGATGCTAAGCTTGTGAGAGACGCTGCGGACTGACCCGGCTAACGCAGGCCTGAGCTCCCGACTTGGGTCTCAGTCTACTGGCCGCGCACTGCGCCTTCTGCTTCTGCTTTTGGATATTTGCCCTCCCCTAGGACCTAAATTCAGGGTGCCGCCCCCTCCCCGTCGCCGGAGCTGGGAGTCAGGTGTTCCTGGGTGCGCCTGCGCACGGCGCCCCGACGCCGCGGACCCGAGGGTGCCAGGGGCCAGGCTCCGCCTCCCGCGCTCTGGCCGCGGGAAGGGTCGCAGCGCCGAGCGGGGCGCGCGCCCCCAGCCCCTCGCGCCGGGGGGCGCAGCCCGCGCGTCTCCGGCGTCTCCTGGGACAAAAAACCTTCGAGCGGGGCCCCACCTCTGGGCCGGGGCGGTAATTGTTTGGACTCGGGGGGGAGGGGGGGCCCCCCCCCCCCCTTGCGGGGCCCCAATCCGAAGGGCTAAAAGGGGCCCTTTTTTGCAAAATACGGGGCCCGCCCGGGACCCCAAATTTAGGGGCCGGGGGTTTGGGTTTGGGGGTTTAATTGGCAACCCAAGGAGAGCCGGGGTTTCTTTAATTTTTTCGAGGAAGGGGGTCTCCCAAGTTTAATTTGTGGACAAACCGGGCCCGAAAAAAGGGGGCCGAGACCCGGGGATTTGTATATTCCGCGGTTAAAACCCCCCCAAAAACCTGGTGTTGACCCCAGGTCGAGACCTCCTGGGCCTACCCCCACCCTCCACCCCCGGCTCCCAAAAAACCTGGCTTGACGCGTCCCCGCGGGCCACATAGGGCCCACTTCCCCAGGGCTACCCTCCGCCCTCGTCGGCAGCATTGAAGGCGTCAGCGCTCACCCCTCACGGCCCGGGCCCCGTAAGCCCCCCTCTTGTCTGCCCCTCCCATTCACACTCCCGCCCTCCCCTGAGTGCCACTGGCCAGCTGCCCCTTGGACACCAGCCATCCCCGGGTCTCCACAAACCCTTCCCATCCCTGTGCCCCGCACTGGGCCCTTCTCTCCATCCCTGAGCTCTCTTTGGACACGCCTTCCAAAGCGACGCCTCCCATTTTCACGGTCGCTGGCCTATGGCCCTGCCTCCTTCCCACTTGCTTTCCTCTTCGCTTCAGGTTATTTCTCACCCCTCTGGAAGGAACGCTTATGGAGGTCTGAGGAAAACTCCCCCCGGGGTTACATCTGGGGATAGCCTGGGAAAGGAGCTAACGTTTGTTAGGCACGCATGCGCGCCAGGCACTCCAAAAACATTTAATATTTACACCGATCCTCCCATCCTATTTTACCATACAGCCCTTATTTTGACCCAAGCACTGCTTTTAGAACCTTAGAAATATCAACTCGTTGAATCTTATTTATTTGAAAGTCAAAGTTAGAGAGAGAGAGAGAGAGAGAGAGAGAGAGCGAGCACACTCTTCCATCTGCAGGTTCACTCCCCAGATGGCTGCAACAGCCAGGCTGGGCCAGGAACCAGAAGCTTCTCAGACGTGGCTGGCAGGGGCCCAAGCACTTGGTGGCTCCTCCACTGCTTTCCCCATTAGCAGGGAGCTGGATCAGAGGTGGGGCAGCAGGGACACAAACCACAGCTTTACGGCACCTGGTTTAATCTTTGACACAACCCCAAGGGGTGCATATTATAATCCTCACTCTGCTTCTGAGATAACTGAGGTGCAGAGAGGCCGGTTTCCATTCCAGACAGTAGTAGAACAGGGCTTTGGCTCCGGACCCATCTGTCTTCCTTGCTCATACACTGGGTGTTGTGGAGACGGTGGACAGACACGAGCCTGGCTTCCAGTCTTGCAGAATTCCTCAGTGTCTGGCAGGGTACAAGACAGCATCTGAGTCAGCAAAACGCGTATCGTTCCTGGTAGATGTGGCCTCACGCACTCAGCACGTTGTGTAGGCAAAGCCCTTGCGCGGTCGGATGCCCCATCCCTCCCTTGTTAGCTGCATTTTGCTAAGGAGCCTGACAGGCCCTGTGCTGAATTTGAATGGCGGTTAGAACGAAAGGCCAAAAGGCCATAAAGACGCAGCTTCCCTTATCCTGCCCGCGCCGGAGCCCAAAGCACTTTTCCAAGATGTGGAGCTTTTGTCCTGCTGTTCCTATAATCACAGAGAAGAGGGGGATTAAGAAAGGTGATACTTACCTGGCTTCCTTCTTTATTTATGTGTATTTTTTTTTTAGTTTTTTTTTTTTAATTATTTATTTATTTGAAAGTCAGAGTCACAGAGAGGCAGAGGCAGAGAGAGAGAGAGAAAGGTCCTCCATCTGCTGGTTCACTCCCCAGATGGCTGCAACGGTCAGAACTGTGCCTATTCGAAGCCAGGAGCCAGGAGCTTCTTCCTGGTCTCCCACATGGGTGCAGGGGCCCAAGGACTTGGGCCATCTTCCACTGCTTTCCCAGGCCACAGCAGAGCTGGATCAGAAGTGGAGCAGCTGGGACTCGAACTGGTGCACATATGGGATGTTGGTGCTACAGACTGGGGCTTTAACCCACTGTGTCACAGTGCCGTCACCTATGTGTATTCTTTTAAAAAAAATTTTACTCGAACGGCAGAGAGAGAGAGAGAGAGATCTCCCACCCACTGGTTCACTCCCCAATAGCCAGAACTGGGTCAGGCTGAAGCCAAGAGCCAGACATTCAGTCAAGGTCTCCTACATGGGTGGCTGAGACCCAAGTACTTGAGTCCTCACCTGCTGCTTCTCTAGGTACGCATTAGCAGGAGACTGGAATCAGGAGCAGAGGAGACATGAACCCAGGTGCTTGGATATGGGAGGTGGGCACCTGCCCCTCCCTACCTGGCTTCTGATGCCATGCAGAATCAGAGGGGCAAAGTTGAGAGCTGGGAGGGAGGTCTTCAACTCTACAGCTTGTGTCCCGTCCTCCTTGACAGTTCCAAGAGCAAGCACT